TTTCTGGAATGTTGGCCCCTCAAATTTTGCTTATCTTAGTGTTTCCCAGTGACTTCAGCAGTTTAAATATGTTTATACTTATATTCATATCCTCTGGTTATTCATGGGGAAGTTTCAGTATAATAAAATCCAATCCGTTATTCCAGGAAATAGAAATCAAAGTATTATATTTAATAGAGGATTTTCTAGTTTGTGTATAAATTTATTCATAATTAATTGGCTTAGAACATTTGGGTTTAGGGCATTTAGAAAGTGTGGTTATTGAAAACTATAATCTCATGCTATTCAATGCATATTGTATTTTAAGAGAAGAAAGGCTCGTATGATCCTCTCTAATGTGATTCTTTCATAAATGTCCTATTATCCTGCACTGTCCCTTTACCTTTTAGTGGGGGTGGTTCAGAGGGTGGGTGAGTGGTAAAGATTGGGGTAGTAGGGAAGGAGGAGATTGAACAGCCAATTTATCAGAATGTATTAAAACCTGGCACATACATCTAGCATGGTTTGGACATCATTTTGAGACAATGTTTGATTGGCCTTTTTGTGTGCCCATGACAAAGAAGGACAACTATATGCACTCTCTGGAGATTCCCACTACAGTTTGCCGGGGGAGGGGGGGGAGCAAAGAATTCACAAGGCTAATAAGCCACATATACTGCAGAAAAGCCACCACAAATACCACAGTTAGACTGTCGGAAGTGTGGAATTATTGAAAAAAGGAATAAGGCAGCAGTCATTTAGAAAAGACAACTGGGAAGGAAGGGACACATCATTACCCCAGTACCAGAAATTTAATGGGCTTTTGTTTCCTCCACCTAAATACACCCAAATACTCCCATATAAAATTGCTCGCCATACTTTCCTAAGCAGAAAGAATTTGAAGAGTAAAAACGAGGGAGGCTGGAGCCTCAGCAATGACATTTTCATAGAGTAAAAAAAAACTTAAGTATTTACAAAGAGAACAACTTCAAAAAGTGGATGGGCTCTTTATAAATCCCCTTAGAAAATGCTTCTGAAGTCTAGTGGCTGAAAATCAAGTATTTATATTAATATGAAGTAAGGTTTTTTTTGAATTGTAGTAACGACTTAAAAATCAATGATTCATCTCATTATTCATACACTTACACCTTGTGGTCTATTTTCTTTGTTGTGTGTGTTTCTTCTGATATTTGTGTGATGATTATGTGTCAGTTGGCTGGGTGACAGTGTTCAGACATGTGGTCAAACGTTATTTTGGATGTTTCTATAAGGATTTTTTGGATAATGTTAACATTTACATAGACTTTTTCTTTTAAAGATTTTTATTTATTTGAGAGAGAACAGAACAGAGCGAGAGAAATCACAGAAGGAGAGGGAGAAGCAGGCTCCCAATGCAGAGCTCAAGCCCAGGACCCCGGGATCATGACCTGAGCCTAAGGCAGCCGCTTAACCTGCTTAGCCACCCAGCTGCCCCTACATAGACTTTGAGTAAAGCAAATTGCTCTTAGCAATGTGGGTGGAACTCACTCATTCAGTTGAAAGCATGATTAGAACAAAGACTAAACTTCCCTGAGCAAAAAGGATTTCTTTGGCAGATGGCCTTTGGATTCCAACTGCATCTCTTCACTGAGTTTCCAGCCTGCCAGATTCCCCCATCAGATTTTGGACTAACCAGTCTTCCACAAAATCATGAGTCAATAAATGAAATCATATATATATATTTATACATGCATACATATCTTTTGGTTCTGTTTCTCTGGAAACCTTAACTAATGCATTTGGTAATTATAAAGTCTTCCGAAATATGAGAAGAAACAGATTCTCTCTGTCCCCTACTTGTCACCTCCTCTTCTCTCTCTCTCACACACACACACACACACACACACACACCCCACATGGTAGTAGCTGTTTGTCTTTTTAAATTCACTGTTCTTTTCTCTTTATTTGGAAGAGAGAGACAGCGAGAGAGACCATGAGCAGGGAGGAGAGGGAGAAGCAGGCTCCCCACTTAGCAGGGAGCCTCATGTGAGACTCAATCCCAGGACCCTGGGATCATGACCTGAGCTGAAGGCAGACTGAGCCATCCAGGTGCCCCAAAATTCACTGTTCTTTTCTTCTGTGAACAATGGTACAACTTGCTGGCTCTTCTTTCTTTCTTCCACTCCTCTTCTCCTGTCATAATTTTATAATTAATAATATACTATTTCTTGTTATTTGCATTTGAATAATTAAGGTCAGTGTACCTTGACTTGTTAAATGGTATTTGATTTCTCTCAGCTTTCTTATGTGAGTGGTTGGTCTTAGTGGGAAAATACATAGTCAGAGTCTTTATATTACTCCTCATTTTCTTTATGACTATTTCTGCCAAGTGCTGTCAGCTGCGTCGTTTCCTCATTGTCAGGTTATGTAATACTTATATTCTGTTTTGTCACTCCAATCCTCACATTTGTTATAGTCGTAATTCTCTAGCTAAGCATTCACCACCAGTTCCTTTTTCTGTGGATAAGTAACTTTCTAATAATTATTTTATTACTTTAAGTAGCTTTATTGAAGTATACTCCACAAAAAATAAACTGCACATATTTAAAATTAAAAATCTGAAAATTGAAAAAAAATTTTGATAATTGTTTTTGAAGGAGTCCAATCTGTTTTTTTCTTTTAATTATAGATGATACTTGTTGTATAGTATCTAAAAATCTTTGCACAACCCAGGATCACAAATACTTTCCCTCACATTTTTTCCCA